GGGTGCGCAAGAGCTTGAATTACCGTTCTCCCTGTTCGAGCTCTAGCCAAAGCGAAAAACCTTGCATCCATTCCTCCTCCAGTAGCCACCTGGCGAAGTTTGCCCCTTATCCGTGATCCTTGCCAACGATATTCCATAAGGGTTAAGAGCCGGTCCTCGAGGTCCTGAATTTCCTGAGCAATTGTTTCATCATTTTCATTATTATTTGAATTATTTTCCAGTGATTGTAATTCGTGAATACGTTGGTAGAGTCTTGATTCATTGGAATGGCGTTTTGTTGCCAACAGCTTCGAGTATTCATTGCATTTACGACCTAGGAACACTAGGCCGTTGTTGAACCACTTGATGTTATCCTGAATGAGATTCTTCTGTTGACGCCAATAGCCCCAAACATCCTTGAGATAAGATTTAAATCTTTCTATTTTTAGTAGAGATGTGTTTAATTTGTAGTAACCTCTGCCCTGGTCTGGTTTTTTGGAAAAGGATAGGAGGACTGTACACATAGCGTGGTCTAGGCCTGGAAGAGGACTTCTGGGGAAAATTTCAGCTGTTTGTACTGCACCCTCCAAGTCTTCGGAGAGAAGGATCAAGTCAATCCTTGATTTAGAAACTGTCCTAGACTGATTTTTTCTAAAGCATGAGAAGGTACGAAATGTAGGGTTAAGTCTTCTAAATGAATCAAAGAGGTTGAAGGTTTGAGTGAGATTAGTCATCATGGCTTCGTCCACTGCCACGTAATCCGGGCATGGGTCGGAATGCGCCAACGATCCAAGAAACGATCTGGGGCAACATTAAAGTCGTCTGCTATGATTACTGGGATCCCAATAGGAAGTTTAGGAATGAGAGAACCGAAGAAGCGTTGTCGGTTTCCTGCTTCATTAGGTCTATAAACACATAAAACGACCACGATCTCTAGATCTAACATTGCGAGTATGTATGCCCATCTTCTTTCCTCTTTATCAACTTCCCAGTAGACAGGATCTACTTTGGATCCTGGCGGGATCCAAATCGCCACACCAGCACTACCAGGACACGGTGCATGGGCCCGGAAAGCAGTGTGGGGCCAAATCTGTCTGTGGCAATGATCATGAGCGGCCGAGTCCAGTAGGTGGGTTTCCTAAATACATATAACATCAGGCCATTCCCTTCCTCCTATTCCTTTAAGCTGATCATAGATTGCTTGTCTCTTTTCAAATGTAGCTGAAGCCAGACCATTAACGTTGAGTGACCTCAAGTCTAGGTCTGTCTGCCTTTTGGTAGCTTTGCATGTTTTATCTCTATTGCACAGGGTGTCAATTAATCGATATTTATCCATTGATTCAACAAAAAAACGACTAACCCATTATAAGATTAATAAGAATAGTCAGGCCTAACTGCTCAATGCACAAGCAGGCGCACACAGGTGATCTCCCGTATGCCCGCTAAAGTAGCCTAGCCCTCTACCCTCAACCCGCTAACACTCAGCATAGAGAGGTCACTCAGACCCGGATAATGGATGCCAGTCTCCCCTCTTCCTCTTATAGGGTCTTCACTTACCTCGATCCCCGTGCTCTAAACGAGAGATTTAAGCAAAATTTCTCAGAGTCACATCCCTTTTTAGATTTTGTAATTACATGAAAATAAGAATAATAATAAAAGTATAAAAGGAAATTAAAGAGGCAGTACCCCAATGGTCGTGGGACCAGCCATTGCGTGAAAAGACCGCAGAACTTAGCGCGGTGGTCCCATAACGGGATACCGACCGATGCTTCTGTCCTCTTCAAAAGTGGGTTGTCGGCCTATCCCTGCTGGGTACCCGTGTCCGATGGCAAGGAGGGGGCTTATGACCCTTCCTTGGAGGGTGATAAGCCTCCTACCAATGCGGTTGCGGGTCGCCCCTGTTTTGGGGTCCCATTACGTGGCGCACAACCAGACAGCTCATCCACAGACGGTATATGAGGGGTCGGCCAGCTTAGGCCGTAGACCATAGTCTGAGCTCAGAATTCGATCCGTTAGCTTTTCCTCGAGATGACAGGTCGAACAAAAATTAAATAATAGTAGTAATAATAATAATAATAATAGTAGCAGCAAAATCAGAAAAGGTAAGGAAATCGTAACATCACAGTGGCGTGAAGCCACCGGATTTTTCCCGAACTAAAACGTGAGTTAAAATTTGACATTTTATTTTCCTTTTCCCTTCTCTCTTTTTGACAACAACTTCTGCCCTGTGCACCTAACCCATAACCTGAACAGCTATTTCGTCAAAACGGACATATTATATTTTTTGAACGAAATAAAAACTGATTTTTTTTGCGAAAATCTGGTCAGAATTTTTCGCTCCTGGGGGTCCGGCGTTCCCAAAACGCCGGACCCCCTACATGTATCTGGTCTCAGCTTGAGACCAGATTTTTTTTTTTTTTTTTTTTTTTTTTGTGTATCTGGTCTCAACCATAGACCAGATACATGTAAAATGCCGGACCCCCCAAGAGCCAAAAATTCCGACCGGATTTTGGCAAAAAAAGTCAGTTTTGATTTCGTTCAAAACCCAGGAATTTTTTTTTTTTTGTGTATCTGGTCTCAACCATGTCCGTTTTGACGAAATGGCTATTCTGGTGAAGGGGTACTTGGCGCGCAGTAGAAGAACCCACGCCGGACCATTTACCTCCGCGTCCCAGGGCGAGCCCGGCGGCTACCACGACCACAGGCCGGTAGTGCTCTGCTGTACAGCAGGGCGCCGAGCCTGTGTGGACCACAGGAAAGTCCTGTGGCGCACCCTCCCTTTTGCTGAGGCAGGCACCAACAGGACTGGTCCACTTCAAGGTACAGTCCGGGTACTGGGGTTTGTAGAGGTTTGGGAACACGACTACAGGCCGCAACGTCGAAGTAAAAGGTTGGTACCAAGCAGGGACTTGGTACGCAGAGGAGGGCCGGGACACCGCGCCCTCCGACAACGGAGGGGGACCTCTGGCAAACCCTCCCGTAAACTAAACGGTTGGGGGAATGTCTGGATGAGATCATCTTCTCCATCCCCCTTTCATGGGTACGCACTCTGCAACGGGGCCCAAAGCTGCAGGAAAGCGACTGGGTAGCAGTCAAGGGGAACCTATTGTAAGTAGGGAGCATTATCGAGACAAGGCACGACAAGGTCCTTCTCAACCCCCCCCCCCCGAATTGCTTCCCCGACCCTTTCCCTCTCCCTCACGAGTCACAACACCGTGGTCGAGTTGGGGTGGTTCGGCCACCAGGGTTGTGTTTTCACATACTATAAACCCCCTCAGTTGCCCCGAGGGGTGTCTCAGCGGACTTGGGACTTCTGAGCCGAAGCCGGGTAATGGCCCTGTTCAAGTGAGTGTCTTCTTTCTGGTGTAAGGGACACTGGACCCGTTTCCCAGCAGGTGCTGCTCCACCGAGAGACTGGAGCCATCCAAGGCGGTACCACATGGGGCTGCTTGTACCACCCCCTGCGACACTTGCCGCGGATGTTAAACCAAAAAAAAAAAAAAAAAGATTTTGTGATTGGCTTGTCCTAAACCAGTTTCTTGTTCGTTGCATTCCTAGAAACTGTCTTTCCCCCCCCCCTAAAATAGCCGGGAACGGGGCCCGCGCGTCCCTTATATTTCAATGCCAGCAATCGGGCCTGGCGTCCCTACAAAAATTCCACGGTCCTGGATGAGTCATAAGATAGGTCGCCATTTACTTGCATTTACTGCCGTTTAGTTCAAAAAAATTAAAGTTGTGTTTCAGGCTTCCAGCCAATCAGGCTTCATCGCATATTCAATTGGCAGGTAACCGTTGCCATTCCAAAGAACTGAGTCCTTTTTTTTTTTTTTTAAGTAACTTCTTCGGGGGTTGCCACCAAGGGTGATATGAGCATCCCTCTGTGGTACCCTTCCGGCTGATGGCTCCATTCTATTGGTGGGGAGCTGCACCTGCTGGACACCAGGTCTAGCGTCCCTTATTCAGAACAATGGACCTGCGGCAGTAAAGAAGGGGGGGGGGGGGGAAGACGGCAAGGGGAGGGGGGGGGGGGGGGGGGGGGGGGGGGGGGGTGCTGTCTCTTATACACATCTAGATGTGTATAAGAGACAGGGATGGGAAGGCAGATCTGCAGAATTTGCACCAGGGAAGGGC